TTTCCCACCACCGCCTGAGGGCGATGTCACGACTTCCCCCCTCTCGTTTGTTTCTCAGAAGTCACGCGGTCCAGTTCTCGATGGCCCGCAGCTCTTCGGCAGAGCAGACTAACGCGAGTAAAGCAGGAATAAAAACTTTAACCAGAGGGAAGCATCGGTACCTGTGTTTCTGTCTGTCAAATGTCCCAATCGTGTGTAATATAATGTCTGCAATAAACACCCACAGGGGAGACGTCGAGGTAAAGCGGACGAGCCGGATCCTCTTACGTTTCAGTTCAGCTCTTTCTCACTTCTTCAGCTTTCACTCTTTTTTAAGGAATTGTTTTCCAGGACCTTTCCAGGACCTTTCCAGGACAAACACAGGACGACACTCGCTCACAAACAGCAGCCATCACTTATGGGACACACGTTACCTCGCTTTCATGACGCGATTTGTTGTTCTCACCTTTTTTACAGCCGCCAATATGGAACATCTTTGTTTACCCTACTGTTACTGCTGTGAAACAAGGTGTACAGCGGTCCTCTAACTGTTACATTAATTTGGCATCAGCACGGACTAAAATAAAATGTACATTTCCCAGAACAACACAGATTATTTCCAGGATATTTGCTCATTTTAATCCGTTTCCATGACTGGAAAACTGGTCTCTAAATTTCCAGGATTTCCAGGCTTCATTAAAAATATCTCTCTGGTTAAACTTTTTAATAATCTGAGTCTGAATGAACAAACACCTTCTTGTCCTAAAATGACGACCTTTCTAAAGTCTAAATGAAGAAACGAGGAATAAAAAGGACTAACGTCGGATTACTTTCGAGGCATCTGGCATTCGGCTCAGACGACAGATTTAACTCTTTGTTTTCCTGCGGTTATTAAATACTCAGCTGCTTGTGACGACTCTCTCCACAGCCGCCGGCCGCAGTCACACAGATCTGAAGTCAGCTTATTGTTCCTTCCTCGTCGCTCACCGACTCTCTCTGTGTCACACAATAACTGGAAAGGCTAAATGTGGATGGGAATGAGGAAGTCCGCCCAAACATCTTACGGTTAATCATCCTCAGTCAGCACACACTCCCAGCCAGCCGGTCCGTCTTCTCTCCACAAAGCCTTTTCTAAGTTACCGTGCCTGTCCACCTGGGAGGGCACGGGCGAGGGGGTCAGAGGTCAGCGAGGGTATTCTAAACCGGGGAGGGAAATCTGTGAAATAGTTACTGTGTCATGTGTAAACCTCACAATAACATGTTTTATGGTCAGAGACGGAAGAAGTGCTCTTCACTTAAGCAAAAGTATTATCAGCTAAATGTATTTACAGTATTTAAAGTACACACAGGCGTAAAGTAGAGCGATATATATGATTATTACTGATGCATTCACACATAAACAGACTTTAACTGTGACTGCGGGATGATTAAACGCTCATTTTAACTACTTTAGTTCATTAAATTAACCTGTAACGATGAAACTTATTTTACAAGTTGTATTGTATTTAAAATCAAAGTAATCAGTAACTAACTACAGTTTAGTTTGAAGATAATTAGTAGAAGTGAAGTAACATGAAATGTTATATAATATATTTCCCTTAGTGGAGTTGAAATAGTGCCTCAACATTACTTTATTACAGTAGTGGAGTAAAAGTACTTAGTTACATTCAACCACTGGCTGGTATCGATGTTTACAGTTAAAATACAGCTGTATGTTTCACTTTAATAAGGTATTTTAACTACTTAATCTCGCTGGATAGCTCACCTAATGATAAAGCATTAGTAACCGATTATTGATCGATTATTGATTTATTATTTGCATTAATATTCTGCAAAGCAACTCGTAATTAAAGCCGTTTAATAAATGTAAAGTGCAACATTTGCCTGCAAGCTGCAGCTGAGTGGAAGAGAAAACCAAGTACCGCAACAGTGTACTTTATTACAGTAGTGGAGTAAAAGTACTCCGTTACATTCACCGGCTGGTATCGATCAGTTACAGTTACAGTTACAGCTGATGTCCCGGATGGTTGCTAACGTGAAAACACCCTTAGCAACCGTATTAATCCACATTCACGCGGTTTAACGCACTCACCTTCAACCTGACGTTTTTACCTCCACTCAACGACTGTTAAACACCTTCACAGGAGCGCGAAAACACACGAAAACACGCGAAAAGAAGAAGATTATTATTATTTTTTTTTAAACGTCAACAGTGAGCTAAGACGAAGCCGCTGACGTAACGAGCCCAAAACACACTCAGATTTTAAAGTGTCAACAAACAAACATATCTTACAGCTAATGCCTTCTTAAATCCTCAAACAGCCTGTCTGTCTGTCTGTCTGTCTCTCTCCCTGCCTGT